TCCACCAGGGGGACACTCCGCCCGGGAGACACTCCACCCTCCACCAGTGGGACACTCCGCCGGGGAGACTGCACCCTCCACCAGGGAGACACTCCATGCTCCCTCATGGGCACGCTCCTAGTGTAACAGGAGCGGATACTCCACCAAGGGGATACTCCTTTCTGCATGAGAGAAACACTACATTCCTATACCCTTGAGGAATTATGCGATTTAAGATAGGCAAATCTCCATATCTGATGGTTCCCATTGCATGCTTTTAAAAACAACAGATAAAGACATTGCAGATGTATTATTCATAAATTGCTCCTAAACTCTTGACAGTTTGGAATTGTGCCTTCTGTTAAAAGTTTAAAATGAGGGAAGGAGAAACTGGAAGATCAGTCAGTTTATCCTCAGTTGATAGCAAGCTTTGGGAATGGATTCTCACTGAGCAATTGAACCTTATAAGCTGCTCAAAGAGAGTTGCATCCATTGAAAAGGCAGATCATGTCCAGCATCCACACCAAACGGATTGCTGTGGTTCAAGAATGCAGCTTCTCAAGGGCAATAAAGTATAAACAGGAGCTGCTGGAGAAACTCTGCATGACTGGCAGCTTCTATGGACAGAGAAATGGAGTTACCAATTCTTATGATTTCTTAAGACCTGGAGTAATATAAAATTATTTCTGAAATATTTACTTTTAGTATAGGGTCTATAATTATTTAAATGTGTGAATCGTGTTGAAGTTATTTGGCGGTGTTCCGCGTCTGGGATTATTTTGGGGGGGTTGAGGGTGGATTTGGTTTAATCGAGGAAGGCTAGGCCGCGCCGTCGCTATGGTGATGCGGCGAGTTTCCTGCTTCTCGCCCTCTGACCCGGACGTGACGTTGTTGTTGTGGTGGCGGCCGCGCGGATGGAACAGCTGAAGGCGGAGATCGAGAGGAAACGGCGGCTCCTGGAGGAGAGCCGGGCCCCGGGGGTGAGGGTGAGGGTGAGGGTGAGGGGGAGAGAGAGAGAGAGCCGTCCCCCGTGGGAGGGGTGATGGGGGGAGGGGGGGGTGGGGCGG